CCCAGGACCAAAAGTCTGGGCGACTCCAGCAGCAGCAAGAGTGCATTGGTCAGACTTCACTTGGAATACTGTGTACAGTTCTGGGCACCACAACTACAAAAGGATGTTCACAAGCTGGAACATGTCCAGAAGAAGGCAACCAATATGGTAAAAAGTCTGGAGGGCATACCCTGTGAGGAGGAATTTAGGGAGATGGGTATGTTTAAGATGGAGAAGAGTTTAGAGGTGACACGATAGCCATGTTTAAATATTTGAAGGGATGTCATATTGAGGATGGAACAAACTTATTTTCTGCTGCTACAGGAAAAGACATTTCACTCCAATATTAGATTCTGTGATTTGAGGTAATAAATCATCAAGGCCACCTGAAAGGTCCTGTGAGCTTTGGCTACTGGTTCCCTTTCCTGCATCATGTGCAAAATGTGACTTTTATAAAATCATAGAATCAATCATATAGAGTTGGAAGAGACCACAAGGGCCATCTAGTCCAACCCCCTGCCATGCAGGAGTACAGAATCAAAGCACTCCCAACAGATGGTCATCCAGCCTCTGTTTAAAAACCTCCAAAGAAGGAGACTCCACTACTCTCTGAGGCAGAATATTGCACTGTCAAACAGGTCTTACCATCAGGAATGTCTTTCTAATATTGAGGTGAAATCTCTTTTCCTATAGTTTGAATCATTTACTCCAAGTCCTATTCTCTGGAGTAGCAGAAAACAAGTTTGCTCCATCTTAAATATGACATCCCCTCAAATATTTAAACATGGTTATCATGTCACCCTTCTGAGGGAGTGTGTTCCACTGTTGAACAGTTCTTACTGTCAGGAAGTTCATCCTAATGTTTTGATAGAATCTCTTTACCCGCAGTTTGCATCCATTGCTGTTTCTTAGTCTCTGGAGCAGCAGAGGTAATAATTCCAATAGTATACCAATTCTTGTTGGTACTCACTCACATATTCATATGTATGTATGTATGTATGTATGTAAAAGCTTAATGAGTATGAAAAACACAGTGCTCCATGCCATCTGCATCTTTCCTGTGCTGCTTTGCAAATCTTCTGAGATAATATCCCCATTTTCAGTGCAGTGGAACACCTAGTGGCAGCACAGTTCAGCTCTCTCCTCCTCCTACCCATGCTATCATTGCCCTGTCTGAGAACATCTGCCTTCAAGAAGCATAGCATAAGCCTAGTATCTGTGGTTGGGGGAAGGCCTTCAAGAAGTGTGCTAGCCATGCTACCTTTGATGCAAGTCTTCTATATTATCACTGGGTTTATGCATGATTGGGCAAGACTATCAATTTTATTTCTCTTCCTCTAAAGAATAAAAGTGCAATTGTGTTGATTTTAACAGGCTCCATCATCCTTGGATTAAAAAAATGAATCACAAAAGACCCATAGGCTGTTGAAAGGCGTGGTTGCTTCATTGTCTGAGCTAGCGATTTCAGGAAGGCCAATAATATTCAGCTATGATGATCTTAGTATAAATTGTTGAGAAACTTCAATGTAAAAGATCCTGCTTATTGTTCATATTGTTTTAATCTATAAAATACAGAAACATTCTGAGGTATCCTTTCAGAAGAACAAGTAAGCACAAACTACTGCATATAACTACAGTGGAAATGATAACCTTTGGACTAAAGCCAAAGTGTTTCCTTCAGCAAACCATTAGAATATATGTAGGATATAGTGTCATTTTCATCACAAGTCTCTTTTTTGTAATAGCTGGCTGCTGCAAAAGTACATAGTCATTTTCTGAATATACACAGATGGCTCCCTTCCCCA